GCGGGTTGGCCCGGTCGCCCGCCTCCCCTGAGCCCCGACGGGCCGGGGACGGGGCGGGCAGCTCCTGCTAGGGACAGGTGTGTTGCGACCTGGCTGCTCCGGGACGGGAGATCAGCAGGGGGAAAGGGACAGGTTTGTGTTCTGTTTGTTTGGTAGGGTTTGTTGGTTGGTGTTTTTTTTTTTGTGGTTTGTTTGTTTTCAGGATCTGAGCTGTTACTTTGACGGGGACTTGGCTTGATTACCCTCATTTGCGAGGTGCGTAGAGACGGTGGGAAACAGAAGGGGATTTAGGCATGTCCAGCACCACCAGAAAGGAAAGGTGAAGCGAATCCATTCCCTAGGCTATTTGTATCCTGGCTTTCTTCTCAAGCAGGCCGGACCCTGCTTTTCAGTCAGGGCCAAGGGAGCTCAGGGCAGGGACCCCGGGGACCCCCGTCCCGCCGCCGCCGGCCCTCGCACGCCGGGAGCGGGGCCGTCCCGCAAGGAAACCGCGCGGTTGAAAGGAGAGGTCTCCTTCGGAGTGAAGTGAGCAGACGGTTTAGGGACCTTTTTGCTTGTTTCATTGGGACCGATGTCAGGAGAATCGTTCGTCTCGTTTTCGCTGGGGCAAGAGGCGATACTTTCGGAGCGGCTGCCCCTGCCGCTGCGGGGTCTTCTAAATATGCACCTTATATATATGTATATATATATATATATATGTATCACAGGAGGTGCATATTCTGTCTGTTCTATCTCTATATTAACAAATTCAGCTAACAAAAGGGCAAAGCGCTGCTAGCCCTCCTCCATTTCAAAGCGGTAAGGGGCTATTTTGTGTCGCCCACTTCACGGGCTGTGAAGGGTGACCCGAATCATTTTTTTCCTCCATATCGACGAATCAAGTTCGGCAGGAACGGCTGTCACACGGATCTGGATCTGTCCAGAGGCAGCACGTTTCTCGGCACAAACCTGTGTATTAAAAGCTCCCTGGATTCTGTTCTAGGTTTAGAAATTGGAAGTTTAATGACAAATTCGTATGTCTTTCTGAGACGGTTTAGTGAGCAAATCTTTTAAATACTCTTTTTTATTTAAAGGACCTTAGTTGGAAATCCCGTTTTTCTTTATTTCCAGGATGATCTTTACTGTGTTTAAGAGTATTGGTGAACAACTTACTCAAATTACTGCCTTGGAATAATCTGCTCGTTGGCGTTATCAGCCCGTCCTCGTTTTCTCGCTGTCTTATGTGCGTGATCGATACCATCTAGTTCGGTGGAGTCGAGGAAACAAAGTTGAAGGAAACTGTGCGACCAGTGGCCCGGGCACTGGCGTGGCTGGGAGGGGAGCCCAGCAAGGCTCTCACCTGGAGGCGGTCGGGGCGAGTACCTGTGATTGGGGTGACAACAACATTTGGGAATCCAGTGCAGGAAAATCAAGTGCACGATCAGCCTTAAGGACCCTTGTGTCCCGGCAGAAGGCACACAGCGGCGAAAAGCCTGCTTTAAATATCGTCGCCTTTTAACATTTAAATGTAAAATAATAATAAAAATTTGACACAAGAACAAAAAGCAAACAAATTATAATAATAAAAAAAACACGTAACAGAAACAAACGAAACAAAGGAACAAACAAATCCAACAACAATAAAAACCCCAAAGTATTATTATTAATTTTCCTCCTGCCAACCACATCTCCACTGACTCAAGAGTCAGGACTCGACAAAACGAGCAGCCCAGGGACCTTCCCGGGAACACCCTGCCCCCCTCCCCGGAGCTCAGAGGAGCGGGGGTCGCACCCCGACCCGCAGCCGAGGCCTTGGCGGGGTGCGGGGCTGCATTGCCCGAAGGGGGAGCGGCAGCCCAGAGCCCGCCCGAGTGCCGGCCGCCCCCTGCCCACCCCACGGGCGGGCAGAGCCCTCCCCT